TTGCAGGTTCTCTGCCTGAAGAGTTCCCATTAGGATTTCTTGCCAGGCGGTCAAATCCCTTTAATTTTTATTTTATTTAGAAATGTCCTAATCTTACTGTCGTATTCAATGGACAATTTTGGGGGTGTATAATTTTTAGTTGGCATCTTGTTTCTTGAGAGTTTTATATATGTCATCCCTTTGCTTCTTGTTTGAATGGCTGCTGCTGAGAAATGAGAGTTCAGTCTTATGAGTTCTCCTTTGTAGGTCACTTTTTTTTTTTCAAAGCTGCTCTCCGGATTCTTTCCTTGTCTGGTTTTGGAGAGTTTGACGATGCTATGTCTTGGTGTTTTCTTTTGAAGTCTATACTGTGTGGGTTCATTCAGCTTCCTAAATACGCATCTTTTCATCTTTCATGATGTTAGGGAGGTTTCCAACAACTCTTTGATACTTTTCTCTGTGCTTTTTTGTTGTTCTGACTACACGTGATTTATTCCTCTTGATGAAGCCCCACATACTTCTTAGGCTTTCTTCATTTTTGTGTGTGTTAGTTTTCATTTTTTTCTGATTGTTCTTCTAGCAGATTATTATAGAAAAGTTTTGTTTTGAAGCTCCCTAATTTTGTGTGAAGGGTGACTAAGTTCTTCAGTTTACTGTTTTGAGAATGAGTAAAAGTAAACGTGGTGATAAAACAGAAACAGAAGCTGTACATCTATTTCAGATGCCTGATGATAGCAATTTGGACCACAATGATGAATTTGAAAGTGGAAATAAGTAGTCTAATTCTGAATGTACTCACATTTTGAAGGTAGAGCCAGCGGGATTTCCCGAGAGACTGACTATGGGAATTTTGAGAAAGAGAAATTCAAGATGACTCCAGAATTTCTGTTGAGTAAATGGAAGCCTAGAGCTACCAAAGAACATAAATAATCTTCATGGAAGGGTCAGCATAGAAAGACGATCAGAGGATAGGTTGGTTATGTTAAGTTTGAGAAATCAAACATCTAAAAAGACACTTCTAAATGCCATTGAATATATGAGCCAGAAATTCAGGATCAAAGTGTAGGCTAGGAATAAAAATGTATAAATTGTTGAAAATGTGTATTTAAGCCATGAGACTGACTAAGCTTTAAGAAGTAGTGAAATTGGACAGAGAAGCAGTCCAAGTAAGTGCCTTTGTATACTCTAGTATTAGTTGAAAAACTGAAAGAAGAGGAAAAGCATTGAAGGATTCTGGAAATGAGTAACCAGTGAGGTATATTAAAATCCAAGAAATATGTGGTGCCTTGGAAGTCAAGTGAAGAAATTGTATTAAGGAAGAAAATGGTAGATTTTTCAAATTCATGAATGTATTCTAAGTAAGGTAAGAAAAAAGAATTGACTATTGGATTTACAATCATACAGGTGACCCTTATAAGAGCAATTTTGATAAAGTAAAAGTATGAAACTTAGATTAAAGTAGGTTTAAGAGAGGGCAAGAAGACAGGGGATGGAGAAAGTGATATAAACAACTCTTAAGAAATTTAGTTGTAAAGGGGAGTAGAGAAATAATGTAGGAGCTGACAGGAGTAGGGTCAAGATCTTTTTTTTTCAGATGGAAGAAATAACATGAATATATTCTAACGGGGATGATACAGTAAAAATAAAAATGTTGATAACAAAGAAAGTTGATGCAATTCCTGAGGAAGATAAAAGGGATGAGATCTAAGAAACACAGCAACTCAGCAGTTGAAGATGGGGAAAGAATGATAAACGTTTGAGAAGAGGGAAGGCATGAGATAATTACCTAGAAAAGTGTGACACTAGATGAGCTAAGAGAACATCCGATGGTTGTTGGGCTTTCATTGTTGGCCTACATCTGTGGATAAAACACAAAGTCTTTGCCTTATGGACCAGGCATCTCACAGGGTAGATGCTTAACAATAAACATAATCATTACACTAAGTACGCATTATAGGGTCATGTAGGTTCATAATGAAGTCCCTGGGTAGCACAAATGTTTATTGACCGGACTATGAACTTAAAGATTGATGGCTGCAACCCACCCAGAGCTGCCTGGGCAGTAAGCCTTACAATCTGCTTCTGAGAAGTCAGTCTGGCTGCTCTAAACCACATAGGGTATCATAAGGCAACAGGACTCAATGACAACTAACAACATCATCTTCATGGTAGACCCAATAAAATGGTCTTGTGTTTTCTTAAGACAGCCATGTAGGAGCCACGGGCCCCTCTCTGGCCCCCACACCTAGGTTCTCACCTTGGCTTCAGAACCAAAAGCACACACCATGAGCTTCTGACCTTGAGAGTTGACTCAGACCGATAGGCAAGCCCACCTTATTTTCAGGTGGTGGTTTTGATTGTTGATCTTGGTTAAGGACTTTCTTAACCATTCAAATATTTGCCTTTGTATGCCTCCAAGTTTTCTTTAATAAAGACTGAAAAAGTTACCATCCCTTATATTAAATTAACAGGGCTCATGACGGAAATGAATTCTGATGGGGATTTTCGTGATATGGTATACTGAAAAAGGAGAAAACACCCCTTGAGGAAAAATACTCAACTACATTAATTTCTATCACAGATTCCTATCACACTCTTTTAAGTTAAATTCAGGCCAGGTTCAAGGTAGCAAGGTAGACCAGAATGAAGATGCATGGTATAGTCAAGAGTACATTCCAGAAATTGCTGACTCCTATTTCAGGGCTTCCTCATCAACATCCTCTGGTCTTTTCATTATAATAATAAAACAATTGGCCATCAAGCTGATTCAGAATATAGCAGTTCTATTAAAATAGTTACTACTTATAAGGTGCCTTTTTTATTTTTCAAAGCTATGTATTTAATTTTTTTTACAAAACAACCTTATCACCTTCAAAGTACTCTCCATTACACTTAATACATTTGCCCCCCCACCCTTTATTTGACCAAAGGTCAGTGGTTTAAACCCACAAGTCACCCAAAAGATCTATGATGGAAACCCTAAGGAGCAATTCTACTCAGTCCTATAGGTTTGCTGAGACAGAATCCACTCAATGGTAATGGGTGGAATCTATGTGCCGGACACTTTATATAAGTCATCTTTAATAACAGTAGCACTATTTTACAAATTCTTAAGATACGCTGCGTTTGTTCTCACCGTTTCATTTCTAACTCCAGGTCGTTGAGTATTTATTATCTTCTCCAACTACCTTTTGAAATTTTCTGTACACCTCTTGTATGTCATTATCTCTTCCCTTTCCTTTAGTTACTCTATGTTCTAGAACAAGTTTCAGAGTCTATTCTGCCATTCACTTTAGTCTCTTCTTTATTTCCTTTCTTTTTAATGAACTTTTGCTTTCTTCATGTATGATGTTCTGGTCTTCCGTCATTAGTGTGCAATGCATCAAATCTGTTCTTGAGATGCTCATAAATCCAGATACGATCTACTCAAGTTTCTATTTTGGCTCATGGACTTGTTTTCATTTTCTTCAGTTTTAACCTAAACATACATATGAACAATTGATGGTCTATTTCACAGTTGGCTTCTGGTTAGTTGATGATATGTAGCATTTATCTCATCCCACAGATATTATCTATTTGATTCCTGTGTATTCCACCTAGTGAGGTCACCATTTATGTTTCAGAAAAAAAGGTATATACAAAGAAGTCATTGATCTTGAAAAATTCTATTATTTGATCCCCAGCTTCATTTTTATCACCGAGACCATATTTTCCAACTACAGACCCTTCCTGACAAGCCACATGGAGCTACACTGATGGACCCAGGGCCCTTGAGCTGGAGGAGCCATGTGGAGACCCATGCCAGCGCTGAGATGCTTCCATCGCCACTGGATCCACAAGACTTTCCACCCACTGGCCTGTGATCTTCCTGCATTCGGTATCATTGCAATGGGTTGCATGAGTCTAAAGTGGAATTTACAGACTGGTATTGGACATATGGCCTAATATTGGATTTACAGACTTGATCTGAACTAGGCTGGGATGTTTTCTCAATATAAAATTGCTCTTTTATATAAAGTTCTTTTTTATATACATGAATGCCCTGGATTTGTTTCTCTAGTCAATCCAGACTAACACACCATGGTATTTTCAGACTCTTCATCTGCATGTGAATTAGGAAGACTGAAGAGAGACTGAGGCATTTGCACTATGGTGTTGGTGAAGATAGTGAAAGTCCCATGGACTGCCAAAGAACAATCAGATCTGTCTTGGAAGAAGTACAGCCAGAATGTTCGTTAACGGCAAGGATGGTGAGTTATCTAAAATACTTTGGACATCTATCAGGAGTCCCTGGAAAAGAACATCATGCTTGGTAAAGTAGAAGGGCAGTGAAAAAGAGGAAGACCCTTACCAAGATGGGATGACACCCGTGGTTGCCAACAATGGGCTCAGGCATAAGAACAATTGTGAGGATGGGGCAGGGCCAGGCGTTGTTTCTTTCTGTTGTGCATTAAGGGCCAACTTGACAACACTTAACAATAAAGACCACACCACCACCCTTAACAAGCCAAGGGACACATCTCTTCCCCCAATAAGAACTGGGGGGGTTCCAACAGCTTACCCTATTTTTTAGCAGCCTGGAAATTAGCCACTGTGCCACCGTGGGTTCTGCCGTGAAGATCAAACGTCTTCTTTTGTCAGATTACATTTCTATGAAGCCAGTTCTCGTCCAAAACGTGGGGTTCCTGTATCGACGGCAACTAAACGGGCTTGGGGTTTTTTGGCTGTTGTTATTTTTGGGAAGTCCCTTGCAGTCCTCAAGTTCTGTGACTGAAAATAAAGCCACAGCCAGAGTTCCTCTTCTGCAAGGCGCATAGCGTTGGGGACCCTTGGGACAGATTTAAGTTTCGGGGTCGCTAGTTAGCCGTCCCGTGAGATGGTTGGGTCTGGTGCCCCCCCGAGCTGGTCGTGGGGGCTCAGGAGTGGGAGGCGACTCTAGAGCCCTCTGAGGGCCTTGGCCGCCCTTGCCCAAGTCCTGAAACTGACCTCCGCAGGGGGTTGCAAAGAAGACGAATGAGCGCCCAGTGAGAGGGGAACAGGTGGCGCCCAGAGAAGGGACTTGCTTGCGGGACCAGGGTGAGTCGCCAGGCGAGGCCCTCGGGGCCCCGGGGGCTCCCGG